TTGGGGGGGTGAAAAAATGAAGTCCAACATCTGTGTGTAGTGGCGAGTTTAGGGGGTGTTTTGTAGTGTATTTTGGGTTTTTCCCCCAGCAGGGCTGGGCTCTGGGACACTGATTAGCACAGCAAACAGAATAGGCCTTGACACCCTGTTAAAGCAGGAAGAGTCACAGAACACACTCAGCATGTAAGAAACTAACGTCAAATAGACCAGAACTGGAATTTTATATACTTTAGCTGTACTTTATAGAGCTCGCAATGGAACCAATAGAAATGTCCCAAAAGCGCAAACCTGGCACTCAAGGCAGGCTAAAGTAAACACTCAATGTATTTGAAAGATTTCAAATATATAGTATTTGAACTCAGGTTTGATAGAGAGAAACAGCTTTAAACGCTGAAGAGGGTGAGAGGCAAGAGAGAGGTGGATGAAGTCAAAGGGGAAGTTCAAAAGGGAGGACAGGAGAAGAGGACGTTAAAAATGAAGAAAGAATAAAAAGAGATAAAAAAACATTTTGAGCTACATTTCTTGTTTCAGCAGATGCATTCCAGACGGTCCAGTTCTGGCCCATGTTCTAGAATCTGTCTAGCTTCATGGTCTCTGGCACACCATGGGTGACCCCCCAGACACACACACACACACACACACTCCAACTCTCACCATTTAGCAGAAAAGCTGGGAGGGGGGAGAAGTGAAAATACTTCACAGCTGCACCAACTTCAAACAGGGGACCCCTTCACTTCCCCTCTCCCCCCTCCATCCCCTCATCCCTCTCTCACGTAATCCACACGACGCCTCACACACACATTAATCACACTGACTGTATGGCCGTCAACCCGTCCCTTTATTTATGAAACACCCCGTAACTGGGTCCCACACGAGGACAGGCCCCGGATAGTAGCTACTGCTTCCGTCCTGACTGACTGACTGCCATTCAGATGAATGGGGGAAGGAAGTGTGTGTGTGTGTGTTGTGTGCGTGTGTGTGAGCATGCTTGCTTGCGTGCATCCGTGTGCCTGCTTCACCTCTGTGTGTGTACTTTCCCATGAATGTGTTTCCTCCTGTGTGTGTGTGTGTAGAGGTCAAGAGGTCAGCGGAGGCTCCTTAAAGTCAGGGGCAGTAGAGAGATGTGTAGATCCTGAAGCTATATCCTCCTGACCCTCTGTCGCCCCCAGCTTTCATCCAACAGCCATCAACACTTCATTACTCTGTGGCCTCTCTTCCCCTCAGCTCCCCTCAGTAACACTCTCATCTCTCTCCTGCTACTGCTGCTGCTGCCTCAACACTAATGGTCTTGTCCCAGGCAGCGCATTAGGGGAGAACACACGGCACAGAGGAGCTAACACTCACACACACAGGCGCAAACATGCACAAATGCATGTGCGCACCACACACACACACACACAAAGAAACACACACACGCACAAACTGGGAATACTTGTTACACACTCCCACAGAGAATGACACAGCCGAGCAGATGAGGTAACCCTCTCCTACTCCTAGTCTTTCTGATTCCTTGTCCATTACTCCTCCATGTTCCACTAGACTAGTATTTCTGTCTGTCTGTCAGTCTGTCTGTCTGCCGGTCTGTCTGTCTGTTGTCGGTCTGTATGCGGCATGCCGCCTGCCTGCATGTGCATGCTGCCTGCCTGACTGCCTGTGCCTGCTGCCTGCCTGCTGCCTGCACTGCCTGCCTGCCTGCTGCCGCCTGCCTGCCTGCCTGCTGCGCCTGCTGCCTGCCTGCTGGCATGCTGCCTGCCTGCCTGCCTTGCCTGCTGCCTTTGCCTGCCTGCCTGCCTGCCTGCCTGCCTGCTGCCTGCCTGCCTGCCTGCCTGCTGTGCCTGCCGGCCTGGCCGCCGGCTGCCTGCCTGCCTGCATGCCTGTGTCTGTCTGTCCTGTCTGTGTCTGTCTGTTGTTCAGGGAGATAGGGTTGTGCTTACTGGCTAGTCTCTCTAGACAGATGGGTTGCTTCGAACAATGTACCAATGTACCAAGGCTCCAGCTTTCCACATCTGTAGAAGTTTGGTGTCAGTTGGGACAGAGAGAATGAGTCAGAATGGGACGCACGTCACCGGGAACTTCACTGCCGCATCCGATTGCCCTAGCTAAACATGAGCACAATTCCTGCTCGCATTTTAAGCACGCCTACCCCCCCCGCTTTGTTTGCCAACATTCACCTTTCGAACGGTCAGAGAGAAGCCGACATCCTCCCCAGACCTAGTGCCGTCGTCTGGGATATCCAAGACAAGTTAGTTACAGCCAAACTACAACTAAAAGAGGGAAGTGACAGCTCTATTCTCTGTCAGTCTGACTGACTGTTTGCTTTAGCCCCATGGGAGCACACACACACACAAACACACACACACAAACACACACACACACACAAACACACAAACACATACATACACACACACACACACACACGTACCCAGTCCTCACCAGACCCTCTTGTCCTCAGAGCAGGGTCTGCTTCCCAGAACCCCCTGTTGTTTTACAGCTGACTGTGTCTAACCAGCAGGCCCAGGCCAGCAGCACTGACAAATCCATCAGAACCCTGTAATGCAATGCAGCGCACCGCAGCTCATCACCACAGCTGGGGCCTTGAATACACACACACACTCAGGAGGAGATGGAAAAAGATGGGAAAGATGGAGCGAGAGAAAAGACGAGAGAAGGAGGGGTGAGGAGGGATAAAAAAGGATACAGAGAAGACTACAAAAGAGATAAAAACGGGATATAGAGGGGAGCAGGAGACAGGAGAGAGAGTGCAGAGAGAGAGAGAGAGAGAGAAGGAGAGGAGAGAGACCAGAGAGAGGAGAGAGAGAGATAGATCGAGGAGAGAGAGAGAGCGAGGAGGAGAGGGAGAGAGGGAGAGATAGAGACGAGAGAGAGAAGGATGAGAGAGAGAGAGGAGAAGGAAGAGAGAGGGAGAGAGGAGGAAGAGACGGAGAGAGAAGAGAGCATGAGAGAAGAGAGAGGACGAGAGGAGAGAGGAGAGGAGAGGCGGAGGAGCGATAGCGCGAGAGAGAAGAGAGAGGGAGAGACAGGGATAGCGAGGAGAGAGAGACGAGCGAGAGAGATTTGACATACCAATTAGGATCTGGCTAAAAATACTTGAATCAGTTATAGAAACCCATTGGCCCTTTATGGTTGTGAGGTCTGGGGTCTGCTCACCAACCAAGAATTCACAAAATGGGACAAACCCAAATTGAGACTCTGCATGCAGAATTCTGCAAAAATATCCTCAGTGTACAACAAAAAGCACCAAATAATGCATGCAGAGCAGAATTAGGCCGATACCCGCTAATTATCAAAATCCAGAAAAGAGTCGTTAAATTCTACAACCACCTAAAAGTAAGCGATTCCCAAACCTTCCATAACAAAGCCATCACCTACAGAGAGATGAACCTGGAGAATAGTCCCGTAAGCAAGCTGGTCCTGGGGCTCTGTTCACAAACACAAACAGACCCCACAGAGCCCCAGGAAAGCAACACAATTAGACCCAACCAAATCATGAGAAAACAAAAAGATAATTACTTGACACATTGGAAAGAATTAACAAAAAAACAGAGCACACTAAAATGCTATTTGGCCCTAAACAGAGAGTACACTGTGGCAGAATACCTGACCACCGTGACTGACCCAAACTTAAGGAAAGTTTTGACTATGTACAGATTCAGTGAGCATAGCCTTGCTATTGAGAAAGGCCGCCGTAGGCAGACCTGGCTCTCAAGAGAAGACAGGCTATGTGCACACTGCCCACAAAATGAGGTGGAAACTGAGCTGCACTTCCTAACCTCCTGACAAATGTATGACCATATTAGAGACACATATTTCCCTCAGATTACAGAGATCCACAAAGAATTAGAAAACAAACCCAATTTTGATAAACTCCCTTATCTACTGGGTGAAAAACCACAGTGTGCCATCACAGCAGCAAGATTTGTGACCTGTTGCCACAAGAAAAGGGCAACCAGTGAAGAACAAACACCATTGTAAATACAACCCATATTTATGTTTATTTATTTTCCTATTTGTACTTTAACTATTTGCACATCGTTACAACACTGTATAGAGACATAATATGACATTTGAAATGTCTTTATTCTTTTGGAACTTCTGAGTGTAATGTTTACTGTTAATATTTATTGTTTATTTCACTTTTGTTTACTATCTACTTCACTTGCTTTGGCAATGTTAACATACGTTTCCCATGCCAATAAAGCCCCTTAAATTGAATTGAATTGAATTGAGAGAGGGGGGGGCAGAGAGAGAGGGAGAGAGGGTAGAGTAGAGAGGCGAGAGCGGGGGTAGGGGGGGGGTAAAGAGAGAGAGAGAGACGGAGGAGAGAGAGAGAGAGAGAGAGGAGGAGAGAGAGGAGACAGGGGAGAGCACGGAGAGAGAGAGAGAGAGAGAGAGGGAGGGAGGGAAGGAGAGAGGGAGGGACGGTGAGGGGGAGCGAGGGTAAATAAGGAGAGAGTTATGGTAATGCTAATACTTAAAGGGAGGGAAGGAGTCGGTCTCTGTCTTTTATTTCTCTCTTATTCCTCATCACCTCTTCTCTCTCTCTCTCTTTCTCATTCATTATCCCCTCCTCTCTGTTTCTCTTCTTCTCTCGTTCCTGGCTTATCAGTAATGGACCAAAGTGCAGGAAAGAAAGAAAGAGAGAGAGAGAGAGAGAGAGAGAGAGACTAGATCTGCCACTATTCCCTCAGGCCAAGCCTATTTAAAGTTGACTTTTTGATTACTTCACCACTGAATAAACCAGGCTTGTATAGCAGCAGGGGCCTGCACAGACGTGCTCTTTTTCTGAGAGCGACAGAAGGAGAAAAAAAATAAAAAAGGGAAAAATAAATGAAGTGCATTTAGCTCCAATACTGAAATACATAACGGCACAAGGTGGAAAGAAACACACAATGCATTCTTTTCCCATCCCTCCATCCCTCCAGTCTAGCACAAGGAAAACATCTTGGGCCGGCGAGACAGGCAAATCTTTTGCCTCCTAATAAACCCAGAGGCAGAGAGAGAGGACCCCATTCAGCTCTATTCCTAAAGACGGGGGGGGGGGGGGGGGGGGGGGGGGAACTTGGAAGGAGGAGACAATGTTCCTCACACACAATATCCTGAATGTCTGCTGACTGGAGTCACCCCCGTCGGTTGACCTTTCCCGGGATAGAGCCTCTCTCTCTCTCTCAGCTCCCTCCCTGGTCCGACACGGAAAAACTTCCCCACAAAACCGCCCGTGGCTGGCTCCAGGGTTCCCCCCTCCCTCCCCGTCCCTGTGTTGTGTGAAGGAGTTTTGGATGGTGTGAGAAGGGGGACACAAGAGAGGGCATTCTGAGAATAGCCGACACAAAACTGTCCCATCCCCAACCATCTGTCCATCTTCCGCTCTCTCTCCACACCAATCCTCATAACCACTCTCACAGTGGGCTGTCAAGGAGAGAGACGACAAGCAAGCAGACAGGCCAGGTGAGGGTGAGACTACAGTGGAGGCCACTCAGTCATCATGACTCATGCCTGCCAGGCCAACTCAGAGCCACAGTGGACCACCTGTCCCTCCCAGTTGCTAAGTCCTCTATAGAGAACGCTAGACCACTTCTGCAACTGCACCCCAGAGCCAATGTCCTGACACAAAATGTCCACCTATCCCTTTGAGAGCTGACTGGCCAGTACTGCTGTGCCAGGAAACTGGTGATGATATTTTTGTTATTACTCTGGCTAGTGGCTATCGTGGCGGTATCGCCAAAGCTGAAGCCCTGGCATGGTGCAGCAATGGAGGTTTGCATGACAGCTGATAACCATGTCTCACCGGCCTGTGACCAGGCAAGATCAGCACGATGGATAGAGTACATAGACACTGTCTCATACACACACTGACACATACACACACACTGACATGACACACACACAAGATAAGCAAACACACACACATTCAAGAGATATTCAAGAACAGAATGTGCTCCTATGATCTCCCTATTCGTTCCCAGCCATCCAACACCGCACAGTACTTTGCTTGCTTCCATTATACATAAACACACAGGGACCAGAAGCAGTAACAAGCTGAAGTGTAAATAGACCGGGAACACATCTCAACTGAAGTCAGCGGTGTCTCCTCTGAGGAGAAACAGAGGCAGGGTGTTTTTCAGACTACCATGACAAGGAGTGTTGGTTACCGTAAAATACTGCTAGAACACCACCCCCCCCACCCAACACTCTCTCTCTCTCTCTCTCCCTCCCTCTCTCTCTGCCTGCTTCCAGGAACACATACAACGGAACACAGACAGATAGTTGTGACAGCGGCCTGCCGGCCTGGGACATGCTGGACAGTCAAGACACACAGATGGCACCTGGGCTTTACAACCTGTTTACCATACACTGCTGCATTTCTATCCCTCTCTGTCTGTTTCTGTCTCTGTCGCCATTATTATTCTATCCCCCTCTCTCTCTCTCTCTCTCTCTCTCTCTCTTTCCCATCTCTCTCTCTTTCCCTCCCTCTCTCTCTCCTTCTCTCTCTCCCCTCTCTCTCTATCCCATCTGTCTCTCTCTCTTTCCCCCCTCTCTCTCTTCTGTCTCATTCCCCTCTCCCTCTTTCTCTCTCTCTGCTGGTGCTCCTTGATCTACCCTCCAGCTGCTGCCCTAGCTGTAGGCCTCTACCCTCCCTCCCTCCCCCTCCCTCCCTCCCTCCCCTCCCTCCCTCCTCCCTCCCTCTGTCTCTCTCTGCCTGTCACAGACACCCTGGACCCTCACCAACCAGGAGGTGGAGGGAGGGATGGAGGGAGGGAGGGAGGGAGGGAGGGAGAGGTGGAAGAGTGGGGGCTAAAAGGGAGTGTGGAAGTATACAATACATTTTGGGAGAAGGCCAAATGCCTGGTAGAGGGGGATGGAGAGATAGAGAGAGGGAGGGAAGGAAGGAGTGTTGAGGAAGACAACATGACTTAAGCCCTCCCTTTGTATGTAATCAACCTGCATGATTTACTGTACACTTACCCAAGTGAATGGGAGGAAAGAGTGTGTGTGTGGTGTGTTGAGTTTGTGGTGTGTGTGTGTGTGTGTGTGTGTGCGTGCCTTGGGGTGATTGTGTGTGTGTGTGTGTGTGTGTGGGGTGGGTTGTTTTTGTTGGGAAAATTTTTATTGTGTTGGTGTGTGTGTGTTTTGTTTATTGGGTGTGTCTGTGTGTGTGTGTGTGTGGTGTGTGACTTGTGTTGCTTTGTGTGTGGCTGTGTGTGGTGTATGTATGTGTGTATGCGTGCGTGTGTGAAGCGTGTGTTCCTCTCTCACCTTAACAGTGCGGTGGTGCCTGCGCGAGGGGTGGCAGCGCATGTTGCTGGTGTTGCAGCATCCCGTGCACCTCTTGACCTCCACGCACGGCGGCCATATCAGGAAGTTGGCGGCCGTGGGGTCCACCTGGCTGCGCGGGATCTCATAGATCACCGTCCGCGTCTTTACACACCGCAGGCACCGCCTCCACCTATAACTGTAGCGCGAGAGAGAAGCCGAGAGGGGAGAGGGAGAGGTGGACCGAGGAACAAGAGAGAAGGAGAGAGAGAGAGAAGAGAGAGAGAGAGAGAGAGAGAGAGAGAGAGAGAGAGAGAGAGAGAGAGAGAGAGAGAGAGAGACTTTAATTAAACTACGTAGTATAATTAAGTAATAAGGCCTGAGGGGGTGTGGTATATGGCCAACATACCACGGCTAAGGATTGTTCTTATGCACAACGCAACGCGGAGTGCCTGGATATAGCCCTTAGCTGTGGTATATTGGCCATATACCACAAACCCCCTGAGGTGCCTTATTGCTATTATAAACTGGTTACAAACATAATTAGAGCAGTAAAAATAAATGTTTTGTCATACCTGTGGTATACGGTCTCATAAACCACGGCTTTCGGACAATCAGCAGTGCATTGGTTTTCTAACCATTGGAAGATACACTACTCTCAGAATGTATGCTATTCTTATCTTTTACCCCTACACACACTGAGATCTCTGAGCACACTAAAGTATGTCATCTACATCACTGATCACTGATTCAGGATCAGCTCCTAACCACATTCAAAACCTAACCAGCACTAAAGGCTGATCCATGACGATTCATAGAGGACAAGATGACAAATCCACATACAGATGTTTTATTCTTCTTATGACCTGAGGAGTTTTGGTAGTAACTCAGTGAGTGGAGATTCTAGAGAAAGACTGCTCCTTTGTTCCACTCTAATGCAGCTAGACTGGGCCAAACAGCCTTATGTCTGCATGTAGGGCTTATGATAAAGGACATGAATACTTAAACTATATCTGGAACGGAGCAAACGGAATGGCATCAAACACATGGAAACCATGTGTTTGATGTATTTGATACCATTTCCCCTTATTCCGCTCCAGCCATTAACACAAGGCCCGTTCTGCCCAGTTAAGGTGCCACCAATCTCCTGTGACTGGCACATATATTAAAACAGCAGGCAAGGCATGACCAGCCATTCATTTGAGATGTGATGCTCTGAGAATCCTGCGGTATGCAACAGAAAGAGTAGAGTACTGAGTACAATATTCCACCATTATATTGTGCTGCTGCTGCGGCGTGTGCACAAAGTACAGTGAGTGAGTGATTGTTTGGATGCCAAAAACATCTGCAGTACTACTCATCCTCTTGGTATGGTACATGACCTAACCAGGAAGAACCCATAGTTACAGGTTGTAACTAAGGCCCGGAGCCCTCTTGTGTGATGAGTACCTGAAGAGTTTGGCTTAATGGGCTAATGCAGTCGTATAGAAGACTCGGGTTCGAATCCCGTCCGTCACACATCCCTACAAGCTACACGCTATGCTCCTCTCTAGGCCTCTATCAGATATTGCACCGTGTGTCTCCCAAGTAATATAAGTCAAGGCCCGGCGAGTTGAGACATGAATACTGAATGCCTGGAATTTCCTCACTTAAGGATACATTTTTCTCCTCCCGACATGTGTCTTAGATCTACACGCCACAGCCAATCATAGGCTCCCCTAGACCGGTAACCCCTCCCTTTCCTCACCAGCGATAATCTCCCATGAATCCTAGGGTTAACTGTTTGGTAGATAGACGTCTTGTCTTCGTTATAAGTCAGTAAACAAAACGTAACATCATATCCATTCATTGTCATGCCTTGGATCAAACATAGCCTGTATGTGTGTATCCTGTACTGTGTTGTAATGTCATGATGTTTGGCATTGTGTTGTGTTGCAGACCTACCGACGCTCCTCTTGCGTCGGCTGTGTATCTGTGAGCTCTTCAGGTCTGAATAGCCGTGCTGTTGGGAGTAGTTCTTATGATGCTTCTGTATCGGCTTGGTCTCCTCGATGACCTCATTTTCCGCACCTCGTCGAAACAGAAGGCAAGCCGTGTTAATGCAATGTCTCGACACACACAAACACACACACACACACACACATACACAGAGAAAGGAAGCTTACTCAAGCAAGTTCAGCACAGTTTCACCACTCAAGACTACGTTAATGACACTTTACAAGCCCACTAGAGCTTAATTGGAGGTGAATTACATTGTGGTAGGTGGCTAGTGTGGTCCTCACCAAAAGACTGCGTAATTGCCTCCATTGATGTTTTATGGAGCCTGCTTCTCCACAACAAACATTCCTAGTCACCGGCTTAATGAGTTAAATGAACCACCTTTATTGTCTTGGCAGACGGCTGATGATGTCATACCTCGACAGGAATCACCATCATCATCATTGTTCGGCTGCAAAACAGTTGACCACAAGCCTCCTCCAGTAGGGGTTACAGTAAACATGATATCGATAGTATGTTTCAAACCATGCCATAGATCTTCATGTAAACACAAAAACTAAATGGTTCTATATAGTGCCAAATAGGGTTCTTTGGCTTGTAACCACCATAGCGGATCCCTTTTTGGTGCTATAAAGCACCCTTAATAAAGGTTCTATAAAGAACCATTAATAAAAGGTTCTATATAGCACCCTTTTTGGGGCTATACAGAGCCCTTTTTTATGGTTCTTTATAGAACCTTTATGGAGAATGGTTCTATAAAGAACCTTCATCAATCTTAAATGTTCTTTGTAGTACCGTTTGAAGAACCATACAGGTTTTTATTTTGGTTAGCCATATTATATTGTTTGAATTCCATAGGTGTTATTATTGTGGTAATTGGCTAGTTGAATCAGGTGTGCTAGCCCTGGAACTGCTGGGACTCGCTGAGGAGAAAACTGACAACTGAGGTAGACAACAGTTCTCAATTGACATAAGGCCATATGTGAGTCTTTCACAAGGCACTGGCCATAGTCATATTTACAACGTAATGGCATAACACCACAGATTACATAAACTGGAATGACACTCACTCACAGTTGTACAAAATGAGCTGTGAGCATACCATGCACCAAAATATTCTAATGAGCCACCACCCTTAAATTTTAATTATCACTAAAAGAGAAACCCTTTTCTGAATTGCAAAGAACCATTGAAGGGCTCAATGGGTTCATTAAAGGCATTATGTTTCCACATAGAACCATCACCCTTCCCAAAGAACCCTTGAGGAACCCTCTTTTCTTAGTGTGTAATTACATGCTCAGTCTTATTCACCCATTACCAAAAACTGGGGGAGGAGGAGGGGGAGACTTTCACAGCAGGAATGCAGCGGCAACAGTTGAGTCACTTGTAATGTAAACCAAGGTGGTCGTTTCACAGGTGGTCATCAACCCCCATCAGCCAAGTAGTCTAATTAGTGGTTTTACATCACTATTTATGGGAAATGTTTACTTAAATGTTGACTTTCTGCCCATTTGGCAACTTTAGTGTACAATTACGTTGAGTGCAATTATGTTTAGTCATGGTGCCACAGTACAGTGCAGCGCTGTTAGCTAACTGAACGCTAACAGTTTACTGTAGCTAGCTCACCTTATTACAGTCATGGTGCCAAAGTACAGTGCAGCGCTGTTAGCTAACTGAACGCTAACAGTTTACTGTAGCTAGCTTTCTGAGACACTGTTTACAGAACAGGTGGGTCCTCTCTCTGGTAACCCACCTGTTCAAGGGACACAACCCAATACCTGTCCACATATACTGAACACACACACACACAAACCCAAACACACACACACAAAACGGAAACCTAAACTCACACACACACATCGGAACTCGACTCACTATGCTCATAACAACGTAAAGCCCAGAGTCAACCATTAGACAAAGCCTTCAGGTAAACACAAGGTCTTCACTTATCCAGCTCCTTTGTGCTATAGACGATCCCTCATTTGAAAGGCTTTTCTTCTCCTGTACAAGGTCTATATAAACCTCTGTTTGCTTATTTATTTACATGTGTATGCTGCTTTTTCGAGGCCTTGTCAAGCCTAAACATTGCCCAGGCAGCGGAAAGAGAGAGATAGTGGGACTTTGCGTCTCCTTGTCAGCTAGTCAGTCATTTACATTTGAGTCATTTAGCAGATACTCTTATCCAGAGCGACCACAGGAGCAATTAGGGTTAAGTGCCTTGCTCAATGGCACATCGACAGATTTTTTCACCTAGTCGGCTCTGGGATTTGAACCAGCGATCTTTCGCTTATAACCGCTAGGGTACCTACCATCCCAGTCAGACAGCTGTGACACAGAAAATATTTCCCTCCCTAGAGGAAGTGATTAGTGTTTACCTGCTCTGCTTGGGAGCTCTGTCTCCCTGCTGTTTAGCATAACACAAAACCTATAGGTATCACTGTGTCAAGTAGGTTCATGTACACTAAGGCACTCAAACACACATGCACGCACAAGCGGACACACACACATATGCACTCAGTCAGACACACACATATGCATGCATGGACACGCAGGACGTGCAAGCACACACTCAGACACACACTAACACACACACACGATCTGTCCTGTCTGCCCTTCTGTCAGTGAAACAGGTTGTGACAGCTGCCTGATGTCTCCACCTAACAACCTTTTAACGCTGTGGGTCACTGACAGAACTCCCAGCACGCTTCTCTCTCTATCTGTCTCTCTCTCTCTCACTCGCCCCTTAACCTTTCTCCGTTTACCCTTCCCTCTTCCTCCATCCTTCTTTCTCTTGCTCTCTCTCTCAATCCCTTGCGCTCTTCCTTTTTATCTCTCTACCCCCACCCCCCCTTAATTTCTCTCTATCTATTCTTCCCCTTTCTCTCTCTAGGCAGGGAGGGAGTGAATGAAGAGAGGGGGGAGGGGGGAGGGAGCGGAAGGAGAGGGGGAGGAAGGTGAGGAGGGGACGGAAGTTAGAGGGGGAAGGAAGGGGAAGACGAGGGAGTGAAGGCATTGAGGGGGAGGAAGGGAGGAGGGAAGGGAAGGGAGGGGGAGGAAGGGAGGGAGGGAAGGGGAAGGACGATGGGAGGAAGGGATCGGGAGGGAAGGAAGGACGGAAGGAGAGGGGGAGGAAGGGAGGGAAGGGAAGGAAGGAGAGGGGGGAGGAAGGGAGGGAGGGGAAGGAAGGAATGGGACCGGGGGGAGGAAGGGAGGGAGGGAAGGAAGGAGAGGGGGAGGAAGGGATGGGGGGGAAGGAGGAGATGGGGAGGAAGGGAGGGAGGGAAGGGAGGAGAGGGGGAGGAAGGGAGGGAGGGAAGAAAGGAGAGGGGAGGAAGAGAGGGAGGGAGTGAAGGAGAGGGGGAGGAAGGGAGGGAGGGAGGGAGTGAAGGAGAGGGGGAGGAAGGGAGGGAGGGAAGGAAGGAGAGGGGGAGGAAGGGAGGGAGGGAAGGAAGGAGAGGGAGGAGGAAGGGAGGGAGGGAAGAAGGAAGACAAGCAGGGAGGGCGTCATGGCAATGGACACCGGGAGGAGACAGGCCATGTCAGAGCGGCTGGCGAGAGAAAAGGAGACGCCATATAAAGGAGTCCTTTATGGACTAACTACTGCTTTTTTCAGCATCACAAAAGGACCTTTTTGTTGTTTTCCTTTCTACATGAAGAAAGCAGGCTGGGGGAGAAAGAGAGGAGGGGGGAGGGAAATGGATAGACCGAGTGATTAGAGCGGGAGAGGGAGAGGGATAAACAGAGACAGGGGAGAAGAGAGAAAGAGATATGGATAGACAGAGACAGGGAGAAGAGAGAAAGAGATATGGATAGACAGAGACAGGGAGAAGAGAGAAAGAGATATGGATAGACAGAGAGAGGGGAAGAGAGAGAAAGAGATATGGATAGACAGAGAGAGGGGAGAAGAGAGAAAGAGATATGGATAGACAGAGAGAGGGGAGAAGAGAGAAAGAGATATGGATAGACAGCGAGAGGGGAGAAGAGAGAAAGAGATATGGATAGACAGAGAGAGGGGAGAAGAGAGAAAGAGATATGGATAGACAGAGACGGGGGAGAAGAGAGAAAGAGATATGGATAGACAGAGACGGGGGAGAAGAGAGAAAGAGATATGGATAGACAGAGAGAGAGAGGCAAGCATGAAGACACAAGCAGACAGAATGAGCTAGAGGGAGAAAGAAAAAAGAAAGGAGAGTGAGAGGAAGAGAAAGAGAAAGACAGAAAAAAAGACAGACAGGGAGAGAGAGGGAGAGGAGGAGAGAGAGGGAGAGGAGGAGAGAGAGGGAGAGGGGGAGGAGAGAGAGGGAGAGGGGGAGAGAGAGGGAGGGAGGGGGAGAGAGAGGGAGGAGGGAGAGGAGGGAGACGGAGAGGGAGAGGGGAGAGAGAGGAGAGGAGGAGAGAGAGGGAGAGGGGGAGAGAGAGGGAGAGGAGGAGAGAGAGGGAGAGGGGGAGAGAGAGGGAGGGGGGAGAGAGAGGGAGAGAGGGAGAGGAGGAGAGAGAGGGAGAGGGGGAGAGAGAGGGAGAGGAGGAGAGAGAGGGAGAGGGGGAGAGAGAGGGAGAGGAGGAGAGAGAGGGAGAAGGGGAGAAAGAGGGAGAGGAGGAGAGAGAGGGAGAGGGGGAGAGAGAGGGAGAGGGGGGAGAGAGAGAGGGAGGAAGACATAACGCTACCTCTCTAGGGAGCCCCCCTCCTCCTCTTCCCTGTCTACTCCAGGTAAGGTGAAGGCTTGTAGGTAATGACACGCCTGCTGCCTGCAGCCTACAGCAGCCTCCTCCTCAGTCTCCGGCCATGAATCACACTGCCTCTGATGACTCCTAAATTACTGCCCCCATTAGTTAGGAGACTCCACTCACTCTCATCCCTCCTCTCTCTCTCTCTCTCTCTCTCAATTCAATTTGAAGGGCTTTATTGGCATGGGAAACGTGTGTTAACATTGCCAAAGCAAGTGAAGTAGATAGTAAACAAAAGTGAAATAAACAATAAATATTAACAGTAAACATTACACTCAGAAGTTTCAAAAGATAAAGACATTTCAAATGTCATATTATGTATATATACAGTGTTGTAATAATGTGCAAATAGTTAAAGTACAAATGGGAAAATAAATAAACATAAATATGGGTTGTATTTACAATGGTGTTTGTTCTTCACTGGTTGCCCTTTTCTTGTGGCAACAGGTCACAAATCTTGCAGCTGTGATGGCACACTGTGGTTTTTCACCCAGTAGATAAGGGAGTTTATCAAAATTGGGTTTGTTTTCGAATTATTTGTGGATCGCTGTAATCTGAGGGAAATATGTGTCTCTAATATGGTCATACATTTGGCAGGAGGTTAGGAAGTGCAGCTCAGTTTCCACCTCATTTTGTGGGCAGTGTGCACATAGCCTGTCTTCTCTTGAGAGCCAGGCGGCGGCCTTTCTCAATAGCAAGGCTATGCTCACTGAGTCTGTACATTGTCAAAGCTTTCCTTAAGTTTGGGTCAGTCACGGTGGTCAGGTATTCTGCCACTGTGTACTCTCTGTTTAGGGCCAAATAGCATTCTAGTTTGCTCTGTTTTTTTTTTTGTTCTTTCCAATGTGTCAAGTAATTCTCTTTTTGTTTTCTCATGATTTGGTTGGGTCTAATTGTGTTGTTGTTGTTGTTGTTGTTATTGTCCTGGGGCTGTGTGGGGTCTGTTTGTGTTTGTGAACAGAGCCCCAGGACAAGCTTACTTAGGGGACTCTTCTCCAAGTTTATCTCTCTGTAGGTGATGGCTTTGTTATGGAAGGTTTGGGAATCGCTTCCTTTTAAGTGGTTATAGAATTATCAGCTCTTTTCTGGATTTTGATAAATAGCAGGTATTGGCCTAATTCTGCTCTGCATGCATTATTTGGTGTTTTACGTTGTACACGGAGGATGTTTTTGCACTCTGAGTAGGAATGCCGATCTAGAATCAGGTCCATCATGTCCATATAATCTTATTAAAAGGCAAAGACTGATCCTGGATCAGAACTCTGAGATGCTTTGAGAATACAAGCCCTGAACTGTTGCCAACTGTAGGTAAACAGGCAGGGCAGAGCTGTAGGTTCAGGTTGTTGTTGCACAACCTTTTCCCTGTAGAGTGAAGTGCAGCCAGGAATACAGGCTACAGATACTCCACCTATCCACATCAGGCCTCATGTCAAGAGTCAGGTTCCCCTTTCCGTCAGTCCTTCAGTAGAGAGAGATGAGAACAGACCAGACCAAGAGGCTGGGGAAGACGATAGGAGAGGGGGAGAGGAGACTGGCTCCAGGGGGGACAGGGGGGCGAGACTTCAACAGGTCATCTCAGCTGTCACCCTGTCTGAAGAGACAATCGCCTTGCTGACTGCTCCACACTGACACACACACACAAGCGCATACACACCAAAACACACACACATGCATGTTCACACACACACCCACAGACACAGACAATCACCCTCCCGTCCACCATGGGCCTCCTACATGCCCCTGAGGCTGCTCTCATCACTGCAGACTCAACACTGCAGACTCAACACTGCAGACTCTCCACACTGCAGACTCTCAACACTGCAGACTCTCATCACTGCAGACTCTCAACCCTGCAGACTCTCAACACTGCAGATTCTCAACAATGCAGACTCTCATCACTGCAGACTCTCAACACTGCAGACTCTCAACACTGCAGATTCTCAACACTGCAGACTCTCAACACTGCAGACTCTCAACACCGCAGATTCAACACCGCAGACTCTCAACACTGCAGACTCTCAACACTACAGACTCTCAACACTGCAGACTCTCAACACTGCAGACTCTCAACACTGCAGACTCTCAACACTGCAGACTCTCAACACTGCAGACTCTCAACACCGCAGACTCTCAACACTGCAGACTCTCAACACTGCAGACTCTCAACACCGCAGATTCAACACCGCAGACTCTCAACACTGCAGACTCTCAACACTACAGACTCTCAACACTGCAGACTCTCAACACTGCAGACTCTCAACACTGCAGACTCTCAACACTGCAGACTCTCAACACTGCAGACTCTCATCACTGTAGACTCTCAACACTGCAGACTCTCAACACTGCAGACTCTCAACACCGCAGATTCAACACCGCAGACTCTCAACACTGCAGACTCTCAACACTACAGACTCTCAACACTGCAGACTCTCAACACTGCAGACTCTCAACACTGCAGACACTCAACACTGCAGACTCTCAACACTGCAGACTCTCAACACCGCAGACTCTCAACACTGCAGACTCTCATCACTGCAGACTCTCAACACCGCAGACTCTCAACACTGCAGACTCTCATCACTGTAGACTCTCAACACTGCAGACTCTCATCACTGTAGACTCTCAACACTGCAGACTCTCAACACTGCAGACCCTCAACACCGCAGACTCTCAACACTGCAGACTCTCATCACTGTAGACTCTCAACACTGCAGACTCTCAACACTGCAGACTCTCAACACTGCAGACTCTCATCACTGCAGACCCTCATCACTGCAGACTCTCATCACTGTAGACTCATCACTGCAGACCCTCATCGCTGCAGACCCTCATCACTGCAGACTCTCAACACTGCAGACTCTCAACACTGCAGACAGACCCATATAAAACACACAACAAGACCAGATAAGCCCTGAAGGCCTCCTTCTAAATGACACTGACACATCCCTCCCTTCTTCCCAGGGCTCAACACAGTTGAAGAGGGTGAGAACTCCTGTCTCTACAAGGTATAGGAGCTTAAGAAGTGGCTGAGGGTTAAGGGTTTAGGATCCAATGGTTGCAACATATGCCATGGGACAAACAGACATAGATAACTGACAGTTATCTCTCTCTCTCTCTCTCTCTCTCTCTCTCTCTCTCACTCTCTCTTTATCTCTTTATCTCGCTGTCTCTTTATCTCTCTCTCTCTCTCTCTCTCTCTCTCTCGCTCTCTCTTTATCTCTCTCTATCTCTCTCTCTCGCTCTCGCTCTCTCTTTATCTCTCTCTATCTCTCTCTCTCCCTGTGTCTCTCTCTCTCTGTCTAACCCCCCTTCTTTACTTTCTGACAGGCAGGACCCAGTCCCTTGTACAGTCCCCCTCCCCAGTAACTAACTTTACTGTCCTGCCATTCACAACAAAAGCTCTGAAAATACACCTCTGGCTGGCATCTAAGGTATTTTAATGGCCTTCCTGGCAGTCTATTGGCCCATCAGGCAGTATGTTGGCCTCCAGGCAGATGTATGTACTGTTAATAATAATCAGGCAGAGTACTACTGTTGAAGGGAGGCATTTTAATTCAATTATAAACACCTCTTCTCATGCTAAGGCTAGCTGCTAGCTGCTAGAACCAGCCCTCCTGATTCCTATTTCAGACTCCACTCTGTAGGCCTGGCTATATTCCACATGTGGTGTGTTTGTGTGTTGTGATAATCTAATGTAATGTTATTGCTATGTTGATCTGATGGGAGACACAATACAAGTTTAACCAATGGTGATTCAATAAAGTTAACTGAATTTGCCAATATTAAAATTTGGATCAAACAAACAGACAACATCAGTAATAACATACATGCAACTATGACTAATGATAAAATAACCAATGAGGTAGGCCTGTATCTGTACATCAATATAGGTGTGAGTGATGTAATGAACCCTGTATATAAGTAAAACCAATGAAAATCCCATTGGCTATTTAATTAGCTAATAAGAGCAATTTTTTATTGGAGCAATAGTACTAACATGAATCATATGATTAATAGTAATCATAGTTGGCATATGAGGGATCCCTTCCCTTACCAACACAGGTGTTTAAAGCCAATTATATAATTACCCATTTCCATCCACAAACCAGACTAGGGGAAAGCCCAGATTTGATATATGGCGGGTGGCCTGTGTAAATAGAGGCTCATGTGAACGCAAACAGCTTGTGCCAGCGCACCCTTGTAACCCAATCTCTCAGTTAAAAGACCCAGAGACAGACAGCTAGATTGCTCTCGACAAGAGACAACCACCTCCAAGGAACATGACTGCGGCAGAAAAGCGGTGCTCACTGCACCCTGCGCGCCGTATGCGCCTATCCGTTTACAGCCACCGTCCTGCGCGCCGCATGTCCCTATCCGTTTACAGCCACAGCCAGGGGTATGTGACACCCTACGTGCCATAAAGCCAGCATATTGCGGGTGACAATTGCTAAATAGAATCTGGGAAAATAAATACCGCAGTGAAAGTCCACCTTCTATGTCACATGTGTACACTCCAGAGTCGGACGCATCTTATCTCGCGCTGGTGTTTTCTTTATCAGTTCCCAAGTACGATGCGTTCCTTTCTGTTCCAGAAAACCTGGCCTTCATCCACCCTCCCTTCTCCTTCCCCCTGGCCTCGACTACAAATCCGGGAACATTTCCTCGGAACATTTCCTCCATGAGACCCTGACTAAACACGCTCCGTGTCCTTGTAGTTTGTTTGTTTTCAACTATCTATTACTACATCGAATCCCCGCCAAATGTCTTCGGGCCGGGCAGCGGGGCACAGAGCCTTTACGCGCTAGGCGCCGAAAGCAGCTTGACCAGTCCATTCATTTCATAGCAACAGATGTTGGAGAAGCATGCTGACTGGCTGCTGAGAGCCCAAGGTAAGTCTGATACGGAGAGCACCACAGACTTCAGCAACACCCACTCAGTGAAACAAGAGAATGACTAAAACATGTATTTGCTGGTGTTGAATCGGTAACACTAACCAATCGGATATGCCCAAATAATGCCCACTGCGTCTGTGCGACCTTCATATATTCGGTATCGTTCTTTCCCCTAGTTAGTTTTATGACACCGTTCTAAGTGACTTAGAAATACAAGTAAACACCTTTCTGGTATCGCCCAGTGCGATAGATTGGGGTTCGAGCAAAGTTCAGTGGAATGGAATCACAGTTCGTGTGGGTAAAAGTATCAAGAGGCAGAATTTACCTTCGGGGGAGTCTATCTCGGAGTCCAATAACCGCTGGAGGTCGCTGATGCTGTGGATTTCGCTGTGGGACAGTCTCTCTATCAACTCCTGTGGGACTTCCTTCACACACACACACACACAATCAAGACAAAACGATTAGAATGAAGATTAAAGACACATGTGGACTGTAAAAGGACGCATACATTGCGTCCTTATCTATATTTTATTATTGTCTTATTCATTCAGGTCAATGGAGAGGAAAAATGACGCAAAGGTGTGCCCATTACAGCATGCATATTCGGCTGTCTTGAGTCTTGTTCACAGGCCGTCCGCTACACTTGCACTTGTGACTTGTTGCGGATACTAGGTTTCTCTCTCAAGCTGGTAGGAGTGTTCGGCCTCACAGCGACAGAGCCTAGGCTATTTATATCTCCCAAGTGTGGTTCCCGTGAAAGCGTTTGGCTAGCTCAACCATAACATTGTCACAGTTGGCTCATGCTTAAACAGATTTGGAGCGAGTGCCAAAAATAAGTGAAATATGTTTATTGGTGCAGTTACAATGTTTGTTTCTAAAAGCGCTCTATGCAACGCATTCAAATGGCAAGCAAGTGGCGGTGGTGCTGATATTGCAAAAACATTGGTGTCGCCTTGGGGCTACAGGTTTCATTCTTGTTTGTTGGTTTTTTTGCCGATTCAATAGCTCAAAATTCCAATAGGCTTTTATGACTTAATATGCACAAAGTCAGCACAAAATGGTTAATGCACAACATTTTAAATATAAATAAAAGTAGGCCTAATGTGTTTGCATAATGAAAATAACGTGTATCCAAAATAGCGTAGGCCTATGTACTTTGTAACAAGTACGTTATTACTAAATTGTTAAGTCTATAAATCGTTGTGTCCCACAGCTTGTAAAACAACATGCAGCAATGTCGACTGCTGTGCAGCAAAGCCCCTTCTCCAGAACAAATGCGCGCTAAGGACAGCACCGGTACCCCGAAGTCCCTAGACTCCCCTCTACCCATACGCCCCCACACTCAACCCCCTCAACCCCGCAAAACGACCCCCCGCGCCAGCCAGAGTGTGACAGCGCAAGAGAGAGGCATGCACTCTGCCTGACTGCAGCCTGCCACCATGGCTATTCCTATTCAACCCCGTAGAAAGTGGTTGCGAAAAGCCCTAATGTCTTTCATACCTCAGCAACAGCATTCAGCAGGTACGACGTACAGAGCAGGAAGTAGCAAAGTACGGGTCTCATCTCCCTTTAATTCCGATTTCCCCCAAAACAAGAAAAACGTCTCCTGCTGTAGGAGCCGCAAAGTCGCTCCTGCCCGCGGATGATCAAGAACCATCCCTTGGGGAGAGGAACGTGTGATTAGTCCTATTCAGTCGCTTGCAGTACAACTCCTAAACACTTGCTTGGGGAACTCTGCGGATATCTGAAGTGATTTGAAGTAGAGTAGTTGACTGTAATATTATTCACATTCGTGCGCGTCTGCCGCTCCGAGCCCTCTCTCCGTGACAGAAGTAGGACGGACAAAAGGACATGACTGGCTCCTTAGACCAGTTGAGCAGTAAGGCAATCCCAACAGAAGACCTTGACAATCATTGCACTTGTTATCGACCCCCCAAGAACGAATAATTTGTTTAGTCTTCTTCAGAGTTTGAAAACATGTGCAACAGTTCCCCTTGTTCTCAGATATTTCGAGTTCTATGCCCACATTTGATTATTTATACGATTAATATTAATAACCATGAAATGTCAGTATTTCAACAAAAAAAAAGTGCGTCTTTTTGAAATGGTACAATCCCAGGTTTAGTTCCCGTAATGAAAACCAAAAATAGAGCAGCGGAAATAGCTCTGTAAAAAGTTGTCCGTGTGTTCTATCCAGTGAGTGCTTAGCTTGCAGTGGGGAATAGAGAGCTCGACAGGTCCGTCTCTGTGTTGGACTTTGGAGTGAATAAAGTCTCGAGCGCACCCGAGCTGCTGAATATAGAGAGCTCGAGTGGGAGCCGTGTGAGCCGCGTGCCCGATGCGCCTCCCCTCGCGCTCCGGTGGTGCTCTCGCATCAATTCACCAGGCCAGGGAGCTGATTGGTTGGCGGATGATTTAAGAATATACCCTCCTCCACCTCCCAACCCTACCCCCACCCATGACGTCACCTACAAAAAACACACGCAAAGGCTATTTAATGTATTGATTTAGCTACATATTAACTAACTAAATCTAAAAGGAAGTATTGAACATAATTTAAAAATATATATATTTAATGGTGATGTAGATGATAAAGCCCATGCCTTTGACCATCACCAATCTTCCTTATGACACACAGAGTAAACCAACTGTTACAACAGGTCTTAATGGTGTCATGCATGAATGATCCATTTAACAAACTTTTATCCAAGCCTATGTCACTCAAATCATCAAAAATAAAATGTTATTTGTCACATGCTTCGTAAAAAACAGATGTAGACTTAATAATAATAATATTGTCTATTATTGACAGTAAGATCATCAGTTTAAAGGCCCAGTGTTTTATATATATTTCCACACGATGAGGTTGGAATGATACTGTGAAATTGTGAAAATGATGATAATGCCCTTTTAGTGTAGGAGCTGTTTGAAATTTCAGCCTGTTTTGGTGGGAGGGAGTTTTGGCCTGCCTGGTTACATCACCAGGCGGTAAATTAGTTAATAGACCAATAAGAAAGAGAGTTCCAAACAAAGGTAATTTTCAGTTTTCCCCTCTCCACTCAAACCACTCCCAGATAGTCCTAGCAAAATTCTTGCTTTGCTCTTTGCTAAGAAGCAATTGTGTTGTGGGGGGACCATTTTAATTGAAAACAATCACAGTAAGGTACTTAATTGTTACCCAGAAATGATTTGATATTTAGATAAAACGTCTGCATTGGACCTTTAAACAAGAGGAGGAACCCACAACCCACTGTCTGGTTAACAAGAGACTGACTGGTCTAAACTTGCTCAGAGGAAGTCACCATTAGACTCTAGAGTAGAGGGGTGTATTTGGGAGGTCCTAGCTGGAAAAGCCCCTGGGGGCCATGGTTAAAGTCTCAGGACCTACAGGACTGGACACACCACCGCTGGCCAGAGGTGACCATCAACACACAGGGTGGCCTCGGCCTCAATGCTCGTATCAGAGAACAACTTCCCTATAGCCTGAAACACAAACAATATCACTCACCCTATTGTTTCACTTTACAAGGTAAATAAACAGGGTGGCCCTTATGATCACAACTTCTCTCCAGCCTGAAATCCAAACTAAATATCTCTCTTGTTTCACATCACTGACTCAAGTGAAATTGTGGCCCCCAATTTCACTATAGATTGCATCACAGCAAAAGGCTTTTGATATCAGAGCAACTTTCTGAGCCTGGAATATAAACCTAATATCGCAACCTAATATTTCACCTGAATAAGTGAAGTGAAAACAGAGAGATATGGAGAAGAAGTGAAACAGAGGGACAAAAATAGAAATGGAGAAAAAGTGAAATGGGGCAATATTCAGTTTGGATTCCAAACTACAACCTTCTTGCATTCATACTATTTGACCTGCAGTTGTTAAACTCTAGGTTACTACAGTAACATAGTTATTTCTCTGCCGTGTGCAGCACATTTACCCCATAATATTTGTCATGGCAGTGGTTGCTCATCCCCCCATAGCTTTCTATTGGATAAGCAGGCCCAGAGAGATGGAGAGATGGTGGGTCCTGGTATATGACTAATGACTGATGAGCAGGTTCCTTATATAGCCCCCATGTGGTCGCCAACGGTCATACACGGTCATCTCTATTACGTCACAGGTCAGAATGATTCCTGACCTGCACATTCAGTGAGATGAGTTGGTGGGGAGTAGAGGTGGGGAGTAGAGGTGGGGAGTAGAGGTGGGGATTGGGGGGAAACTGAGAGGTTAGAGGAGAAGAGAGAGGAGGAGAGGGGGATCATCACAGAACAGATTAGGGGAGTAGAAAAATAATAAGGGGGAATGGAGAGATGAGGAGAGGAACGGAAAGGAGAAGAGGGGAGTAGAAAGAAGTTTGGGGGGCAGCTGGCAGGTCTCCCTCTCTCTCTCTCTCTCTCTCTCTCTCTCTCTCTCTCTCTCTCTCTCTCTCTCTCTCCTCTCTCTCTCTCTCTCTCTCTCTCTCTCTCTCTCTCTCCTTCACTCTCCCCCTCCACGGGCTATTAAACAACATGTTTACTGGCAACTGAGGTCTGTGTACCTAACAACATCAACCCCAATAAATAGTTTTATGGAAGTTGGCTGCACAGTAAACCTGTGGCCATAAAGACGTGGCTGAGGAGAAGACATGTTCTCTGAGTAAGGAGATGACTCCTGTTTCTCCCCGGGCCACACATAGGGGAGGAGGGAAGAGGGAGTGGGAATAGGAAAGAATTCCTGGTCCGGAAAGTAGTGGATGTGGTGGATACAAGTCTGTCTGACCTGGGAGTGTGGAGAAGAGCAGAGACATATAATTACTATAGAACATCCACCAATTGACTTAAATGGGAATGTCCGTTCTGTCTGTCAGTCTGACCTGTGGATGTGGAGGAGAGCAGAGAAATAGAATGACAAGTCAATGTTGTTGACTCAGTGATGGATGGACCTCTTGGCCGTGGTCTATTTAACAGTAGACGTTGTAACAAACACACTATCTTGACTAGAAGACAATCTTCCTCTCAGCTCAGTTTATCTAATACTCTCAACCACCTAGAACTGAACCCAAGATTCTCACACTATAGACGTGTCAAAGAAGACACAACCGATAGAAGACAGGAATGCTATCTGTAGACACCCAATGTAATCCCCTCAGACGTCACAACAGACTAGTTGTATAAATACCACTAAGTTCAACCATCCATGTCTATGTAGTAGACAAGCATTCTCAAAGCAATTGACCCTTGGATATTTGCTGTTATCTGCAGTGCTTTAATGTAGAAATGTCAGGCATTGTACAGTGTAGCAACACAGACATTTTGATGTTTCAACAAAGAAGAATGCAGGCAGAAGAGCAAACATCCTGTATCAGACACATCATATGGAGCTGGGTCATGTTCATTAGGCACCAAACGGAACATAACGTACTGAAACAGGTATAGGGACTACCTGGAGTTGTCCCAATAAGAAATGCTTGTTTTTGTTTTGCCCTAATGAACACGACCCTGGTGTCTCCCTCCCTACCATTATCTCACTGTGTGATTCATGAGCTAGACCAGAGGATCACAGTGGTGGGATATACAGTACTCTATCTCATCCTTCCATCTCCCTGGGCTAAACCCACCCTGAACCAAAGCTCTAACCACCACATCAGTCTGTGTCTATGATGATAAAGTAGATACCATTAGTGGTTATTGTTTTGACATATGAAGACGGCTTTGTGTACCATTTAACGTTAAACACACCACTGTATAATGCTATAGTCCTATTAGACACCTAGGACCACACCTGAGGGATTACTCATAGCTAGGTAGATGATTCAGCTGAGTTTGCCTGAGCAAAGGTACATTCCAGACTTAGGTGTTATACTGTATAAGGAATGGACTTAGAAACTACGTGAGTATACCTGGCTTATTATCATAATACCAGGTTACCCTTAGCACTTCTTAATCTCTCAGCTGGCATGGCAAGTGTCTCTATTCAACTCGCTCTCTCACACACACCCATACGCACACACACACACACAACCTCCCCCTCTGTCCCTCCATCCCTCCCTCAATCACTCTTCTTGCATTAATTAGTTCACTCACCTGGCCCGCACGTACTGAATAGGAGCGATGGAGCAGTAGAGAGGGACAGGAGGTTGGAGTGATTTACTGTGCCATGCACCCTACCAGGCAAAGCCAAACACACACACAAACACACACAACACACACAACACACACAACACACACACACACACAACACACAAATGCACACACCAGGCAAAGCCAAACGCATGCAGCTGGCCATTTATTAGGACATTTATGGGTAACTGGTCTCCCATTCTCTCCTAGTTACATAATAACCTGAGCGGGGTGCTCTTACGGGCTCCTCTGTTCCTGTATAACCCCCAGGGACACCAGGTGAGGGGGTTTGTTACTGGGGGCAAGGTGCCTGGAGTTCCACCTCTGCGATGCACAGACCACTTAGCCCAACACACACACACACGCATTTAGACACACACACACAAGAACACATCCTCTCCCCACAAACACCTGTTCTGTTGTTGAGCCGAACCCACAGTCCCCCCTGTGTCTCCTTG